ATACATATCATGTAAAATGCTCAGATCTCTATTATTTCCACTAAGATACTTATTCTACCTTTGAACCTCTGTGCATTTCTTTATTTATGTCAATAAGGTGAATAGTATTTCTACAAGCCTCATAGTTAAACAGTGTGTTTGTTTGGGGCTATTATGTAACATGAAATAATGATACATCAACATAGTCCTTTTTCATTTAATTTTATGTAACACCAAGATGAGGTTTTTGCACTGAAGACTGGTTTTATTGAAATTTTACCTAAGTTATGGACAGTCAGTTTATGTGAAAGCCCTCATTTCTCCCCTTTTCTGATATATTTTCCATTTAGCTATTATAACATATACCTTGGCATGAAATAAAATTCTAAATTCATTCACATAATAAAATTAATACATTTATATTATATTTTTGATGTTAATAAGAAAGAAAAAAACCCCCAGACTCCTCTACCTATTAGGCATTTCTGTGGCAATATCTAATAGACTCCTTAACCATGACATTGAAGAACTGAGCTGATTTCAGCCCCTTTCCACCTGCTCAGCCCCATCTTGTCCCATCCCCTGTGGATGGAGAGGACATCCTTCCAATTTTCCAGGTCCAGATGTTGGAACCATGTTCTATCTCTCTCTTTCTCTTACACCACACACACACACACAGCAAATCCAGCTTGTTAGAAAATTCTGGCTACTCTGTCTTCATTAACCACCTACTCCCTGTTCCCCACCCTCCTAGGAGCCACCTTCAGCCCCTTCTTGGACACCAAATAGCCTCCTTCTTCCATCTTTGCTTTTCTACAGTCTCATCCACACAGAGTCAGAGGGAGCCTATAAAAGCATACATTGAGGGGTGGGTGTAGCTCAGTGATAGAGCGCATGCTTAGCATGCATGAGATCCTGGGTTCAAACCACAGCACCTTCACTAAAATAAATAAATTACCCTCCCCCCCAAAACCAAAACAAACGCATAAATTGGACATCACCCATCCCATCAAAACTCACTAAAAGGGTCACCATTCCATTAGGAGCCAAATTCGTCCCAAAGTCTTCCAGTACCTGGTGTGCTCTGTCTCTCTGCCCACTCTCCCCCTCACTCTGGGGCCTCTGGCTCCGCCT